TCAGGAATTGGGATGTGTTGGTAACATTTTACTCAGAAGTCATGTAAAATCTTTCACAGGGTCAGTGAGAAACTGGAAAGGTACAGAGAAAAGGAGGACTGGGCTCTCCTCTCTGATCTGAGGTAACTGGGACTGCTGCGGCTGGAGGAAGAGAAAACCTGGAGTGGGACTTGAAGGTCTGAGTGTGGGGAATGGGACAGGGCAGAACTGGGACCTGAGAAAGAAAAGAAAGAAAGAAAGAAAGAAAGAAAGAAAGAAAGAAAGAAAGAAAGAAAGAAAGAAAGAAAGAAAGAAAGAACTGCAGGCACAGACATAGATTTCAACCCACCCATAATAAAGTGCTCTCTAAAGGGCCATCCATCAGGAAATGGGTTGTCATGAAAAAGAGAGTGAGCTCACCATCACAGGACGTATGTAAGTGACTGCTGGAAGTCCCTGGTCAGGGATGCTGCAGAAAAGATGCCTATCCTGGGGGGTGGGAGGTGGGGTGGGAAGGTTAGTGCCCTCTGACTTGAAGAATATGCTAAATCAGATCTAAATGGAAGGCTTAAAGGTTGGGAAAAGGCATAGGTATTCATTTGTGTTCATTCATTTGACAACTATGTATTAACACTCCTTTGTGCTGACACTGTTAGGTACAGGATGAGGCCCTGCCTCAGGGTGCTTACAGAATGGGAAGGGGAGATGCAGAGATGAATCAAATAATCACAAATAAAGGTAAAATTACATCTTGGTGAGCGCCAGGAATCCACAGATTTGGCCCAATTGGAGGAGACAGGACAGTCTTGCAAGAGAAAGTGACATGTGAGTCAAGGCCCTGGGAGTAGGGAAAGACATTGTGGGCAGAGGGACAGTGTTGAGGCCCAAGGGGACACATGATCCCTGGAACTGAAACACCAGTTTGGTGTTAGTGATGGGGGCAGGAGATGGGGGGCAGGAGATGAGTCCGGAGAGGGGTGGAGCAAGGCCCAGCAGGCCAGGCATGATGAAGGATGTTATCAAGGGTGAGAGTGGGATGATGGCTGTGACTGGTGTGTGGAGAATGAGCCAGAGGAGGGCCGAGAGGGCAGGGAGCAGCATGGACGCTGGGCAGGACTCAGGAGTGAGGAAGATGGTGTCCAGGACTTGGGAAGTGGCTGAGAAATGGGGGACTTCTCAGCAAAGCAGGGTTTAGTTCCCTGATCAGGGGGAGTGAAGAGCCAGGGAGCCCTGAGGTCTAGGGGAGCCACCCCAGTTGCTCCGTGGTCCCCTCAGTGCTGTCCTCTCCCAGGGTGAAGGCTGGACTTCCCTCCTATTCCACACACACCCCTAGGGTGAGCCTCCCCAGCCTGCTCTTTCCTGAGCCCTGGGTGTTGGAAGGATGGGGCAAATTCGTTCCATTTGCTGGGTGATGAAAGGAAGCACAGAGAGGTCCAGGTGCCTGGCCAAGGTCACACAGGTGCAGGGCTGGGTACAGAAGCTGGGTTTCCGGACTTCATTGGCCGTTCTCAATGCCCAGATTACCTGAGGGGTCCTCAGCCCAGCCCTGCGGATCCTCCAATCCACCTAGGGTGGCAGAGCAGGGGCGGCCTGGATCCAGAGCATCCTGACCATGGAAGACCCTCAGAGAGCCAACCCGCTCGCTAGACAGCAACATGAAGGCCCAGAAGCTTACACGAAGGTGGGCTTTCCTATGTCCCCACAGCAGGTCAGTGCTGTATTGGAAACAGACCCAGGTATTCTGACCCCCAGCACAGTGCCCCTCCACGGCATCTCTGAGTTTGCAGAGTTGGACCCTTTACCTGTGCTGGATAATAATAACAATAGAATGACTATTTATTGAGCATCAGTAAGTGCCAGGCACCATGCCAAGTAGTTTGCATGTACAGGTCTCCCCTACTTTTTGAAAGTTCACTTTATACCACTTTGCTTTTAGGAAAGATCTACATTAGTACCTGGTTGGGACAGATTGTTAAGGGACAGATAGAGGATTTTCGCTTTTATGAAAAAGGCAAAGAATCAAGTAGCTTTCAGCATTTGTTTTGCCATGAGCCCTGAGAGAGGCAGTGTGTACCCTGAGCAGGGAGGGTGGCCTCGCCAAGCTCCTTCCCAGGAGCGACGCTCAGCATCTCAGCATCAAGCCATCACAGCTTTGATCTGTGTCTTAAGTACCTGTGCTTCATCCCAATCTATTTTGTGCATCCGTTGGTAAGATGCATCCTAAGGTAATTGCTTCTCTGCTTTACGCTACTTCCGCTTAAGAAATGTTTCCTAGGAACGTTCTACTTTCCGATGGGGGTGGGGACCTGTGTTATCTCAGTTCATCCTCCATGAGGTAGAGTTGGATTGTTATCTCTATTTTGCAGATGAAGCACCTGCAGCTCAGAGAAGTGAAGTCACCTGCCTGAGGCCACCCAGCAAGGCAGCGGCCTGCGTGGAAGTTCTTTGCTCTCCAGCTGGGCCAACCTGGGAAGATAGTGAGCCTGTGTGTGCCTCACAACACCCCCACCCCCATCCCAGGGTTTTGCTTAAACAAATAGTTGGTTCTTCTTCTTTCTCTGGCTTCATCGTGCAAAAGACCCTCAGGCATCCCCTCTGGGTGGACCACCCCCCCCCATCAGAGACCTGAGCCAGCCCTGATGTGACACCCCCAGCTTCTTCTCAAGGACACTGGACCTTGTTTGAAAGTCCCAGGCTGAGTGGCTGAAATCGCAGGTCCTCCCCTCTGACTTGCCCTTACCTCCCAGGGCCCCGGTGTTCCCAGGTGGCCACTAGGCACTGGGTGGTTTAGACGGTGGTCTAGCGATGGCGCTGTGACCACGTGTGGGTGGGGAAGCACCACCCCCCTCCGTCCACCACGTCTCGCTGGCGCAGCCTCTTCCTCTCTGACAGCCCCTTATCTCTGGGAGCGGCTGTTTATTGGACCTCTCCTTCCCCCTGGCTCTCCGGGTGGGCCCCTCTTCCCTCTGGAAGTCCTCCCTCTGGGCTGCTCCCACACACCCCACCACCGGGGCCTCCTGGGTGGGGTGCAGAGAGGATGGCCTCATAAAGATCTTGATGATA